TTTCCCTTTCAGTGCAGTATTTTTTTTTTTTTTTTTTTTTTGATAATTTATATATGAATTATTTTTAATATAGGAATATGACCTACTGTAGAGTTGCTGATAAATAATTTTGGGAATATTACAACTTGTTATGATCCCGGTTAAAGAGAGTTTTTAACCATATTATAGAAATGGACCGAAAAGGTCCCATTTCATGGCTCGCTTGAATGTTAAAAACGTAGAGCAAAATATTCAAAGTATTATACCCTCCACCTTGGAAAGGAGGGTATATTAACTTTGTTATTCCGTTTGTAACATTCTTAAATATTCGTCGTAGACCCCATAAAGTCAGCAGCAAGTCGATTTAACGATGTCCGTTTGTCTGTCCGTCTGTCTGTTGAAATCACGATACAGCCCACATTATTTAACGTAGAGCGCCAAAATTTAGCAGAGTAATTTTGTACTGTGTCTAGGATGGTTGGTATTGAAAATGAGATAGATCGGTCCACGTTCTGGTACAGTCCCCATATAACGGTACCTCCCTATATTCGGTATTTTGATGATTTATGCTACATTTTTTCACTGATTTGTCTGAAAATTGGTATTTGCAGGTCATAACGAGTCCCTGTGCGTGTGGCAAAACATTGCATGTATGGGTTCACGTTTTGGTATAGCCCCCCTATAAAGGTACCATTCCCGATATTCGGTATTTAATTCTTTTGCCACATTTTTTCACGGATTTGTCTATAAATTGATATTCGTTGGTCATAATGGGTTCCAGCTCCGGTGGAGAAACATTGCATATATGGGTCCATGATTTGGTATAGCCCCCATATAACGTTTCCCCCACATTCGGTATTTTGATGATTTTTGGCACATTTTTTCAAGAATTTCTCTGAAAATTGGTAGTTGTAGATCATAATGGGTCCTAGTTCGTGTGGCGAGTCTTTGTAATTATAGGTCCACGCTTTGGTATATCCCCCATATAACGGTACCACCTCCCGATTTTCCGTAATTTGATGATTTTTTATCACATTTTTTCACGGATTTGTCTGAAAATTGGTATTGTAGGTCATAATGGGTTCTAGCTCCTTTGGCCAAAAAATTTGAAAAAAATGAATTTTGTTGCACAGTGTTATATACCAAAATATCCATCATAAATTTTAAAATAAAAAATTAAACTTTTCAATGTATTTTTAAAAATTAAAATAAAATTACAACAAGCTTGTTCTATTGCAAAGGAAACACCCGTACGTATATGTAAAAGCGTGCAACAACTCGCCTAAGCCCTTAAAAAATTGATTCCGTAATCGTAGCTATGAACTATAACAACACTACGAAATAATAGGAATATTAATTTCCTTTTTCCGCACATACTAGCAGTAAATCTTATCCTAAAAAGAAAGACCTTGTCCTAGCCCTAGCCATTTCGTACACATGCCTTAAACTAAGAAAGGAAAAAAACAACACACACACACACAGTATAAGACGATACTATAGGAAAGACAATGAAAGTGTATGGTATATTGAAATGAAGAACATTTGAAAGAGGGCAAAAACAAAAACAATACAATTGCCGAAGAACTCCGCCTACCAATACGCTATGCAATATATTTCGTACTGGAATACAACAAGGTATCTTCTGTATTGCAAGGAATTCTAAATGGACGCATTATCGGACACTTCGAATACAGTGAGGTTTATGTAGCCCGAAAATAAAAACGGTTTTTGGAATTTATACTTTGGGTATGTGAACATTTGAAGGAATGAATTGGAAAAATAATTCCAAAAAAAGAGTATAGGAACTGATGAAAATTTATGTCTGCATCCGGAAATATATTCTTTACGACATACCCCCATTCATATACCCACTAATTAAAATCGTTATGTCTACCTCCATTTTATGACAGGCGTTGCAAAAAGTTTGCCATACATCTTGTAACTCCTCGAAATAATAATTGAAGACATATCTGTGGTAATCACTTAAGCATTTGAAAGGATCGACCTATTTGTAGTTTTCTATTCCCGTAGGTCATGTGCATTTGTTAACAAATTGCAGGTCGCATTCATTCTCTGATTGAGAAAACAACTTTGCACAATTAAATTATCTGGCTCGGCTCAGATCTGGATAAAATTCCCATAAAGGTCTTCGATTTTAAGATTTAAGATTTTGTTCACCAATGTGAAATATCAGTCCAAATAGAATGGATTTGACAGCCTAGCCTAAAAGTAAGGTTTTGAAATTTTGAGGGAAATCGGTTTAGATGAAAGATATCAAAGAACGAACGAATTTGACAATTTTCAAAAAACTAAAATCCGTTAAAATTTATGTTAAAATCTTTGAAATAAAGAATGTAGCCATTATATTAGGGTCTATACGACGACATGGACCTGCATAGGGAACTTTGTCATGAGCCATTACAAAATTCAAATGCGAAACTTGAAAAAATGGGTTATCAAGGTAATTTAAATCATCAAAATTCCGAATATCAGGAGGTAGTATTATATGGGGGCTATACCAAAACGTGGACCTGCACAGACAATTTTCTGTCAGAGGCTGTGGTATCTATTAAGAACTTCAAATGCCAATTTGAAATATTGCCGGTGAATATTATCGCTTAAATCACCAAAATACCGGATATCGGGAGGTACCGTCATTGGCCCATTTCCAATACCAAAAGTCCTGCAGACGTAATATATATTTGAGTTTGGAAGCTAGTGTGATTTCCACAAACAAACAGACGGACGGATATCGCTAAATCGACAAAAAAATTGTATGCTGGGCAAGATATACAGGGTTAGTTAAAAAACTCCAACAAAGTCAAACGCCATAATTTTTTCAATTTTTTTAGGTTATATTGAATGAAAGTAAAACATGTCGGAAATAGTATCAAATTTTAGAATAAGTTTAGATTTGTTCGAATTGGTCACCTTTAATACGAATTATCGCCTTCCAACGGCCAATGAAACCGCCACACGTTGCCCGAATGTTGCTCTGCTATATATTGGACCATTCCCGGCGAAGCGCTTGCTTGAAGTGATCCACTCTTTGATATTTTTAGTGGCAACCTTGCTTTCTAAAATACTCCAGACACAAAGTCCAACGGCTGTGTATCTGGAGGCCATTATGCGCTGGAAATGAAGCGAGGAACCTCTTTTTGTAACCATTCTTGGGTGGCGCGTGCTGAGTGCGATGGTGCTGTGTCCTGTTGGAATGTCCAAGGTCTGCGGCCAAAATGTTTGCGTGCCCAAGGCTTTAATACACCCTTCAGAATATTTTCGAGATATTATTCGGCATTTATTCTAATGCACGGTCGATTAATACGAGCGGAGAGCGACCATCGGCTGTTATGGCGGCCCACACCATCACCATGGCCGGCGCTTGAATTCTGGTGGCCAACCGATGATACACATTTTCAGCTGACCTCTTTGGCAAGTAAGCGCGATCATTTGTTTGTTTACAAACTGCTGTACAACGAATGTTTTCACATCGGAGAAAACTTCATAGAAATTCGGCATTCGGCAGTACACCACTTTCGGCCAAATGAAGCAACTCTTTATCTCTTTTGAGTCTATTTTCTTTCTGTTCTTTCTTTCTGAACTTACACTCTTGCACTTTTTGGAATTCAATGGCTTTACCCCGAGCAAATTTTTCAATATTTGCCGAAGGGAATATTGCGATATGTTCAGCTCACGAGCCATTTTTCGGCCACTGCGACACGGGGTTCGATCAAATTGCTCCTTTACTTTTCGAACCATTTCTGCTGATGTTAGTGTTTTCTTCCGTCCACTTACTTGACGTCGGGTTACGCTATCAGTATCACGGTAACGCGCGATGGCACGACACACAAAATTTATTCACATTTAAATGCTAAAGTGTTCTAACGATAGCTGCCTCTGGTTTTCCAGCCAAATATAAAAAATCACACTATCACGCTTGAATTCCATCAGGAATAACTATTTTCTGGAAAATTCTCACCAAAATGCTTTGTACGCTTGTAAACAATATAATGAGCTTTCACTTGAATAATTTTAACAGCTGTCGGACGAGTGGCTTAGAATGACAGCAGTCTGAAGTTGGTTGCAGTTTTTTCATCTCACCCTGTTAATATTATATATATATATATATATATCTATATATATATATATATATATATATATATATATATATAATATATATATATATATATATATATATATAATAATATATATTATATATATATATATATATATATATATATATATATATATATATATATATATATAGATATATATATATATATATATATATTATATATATATATATATATATATATATATATATATATATATATATATATATATATATTCAGATATGATCATAGATTCCATACTTTAATCCTATTCTCACTAGTATTAATATAGATTGTGAAAAATTTATTAAACCAATATCCAAAATTCATACACTCCTTTGTTTCTCACTGTATACTTACATTTTTTGGCTAAAAGATTGTTTCGTACTTGTAGATCGTAACTTAAGTCACTAACATATAGCAGCCGTGGCCGTAACCGTACAAAACAATTGAATCAAACATGCACGCTTGCATGTGTGTGTGTGTGTTTGCGACACATACACAATGTGTGCCGGCTACTGAGACGTTGTATACAACGTGTTTGTACAACACCTGCGTATTTGTTTTCGTTACGCTTATCATATCAGTGAACGATAGCGTTGGCAGTGAAGTCAACGGCGACGCAAGCAGCCAAATTATATCTCTTTTCTGTGGGGGTAAATACCGTTTGTTGTGGCGCTAAATATCGTTGGCTGCGCTGACACGGCTCTGATAACGCCTGAACTTGGCAGTCAACGTCAATGGCAGTACCCGTGTGTGTGCATGAAGACGGCATAGCTCCTCTGTCTGCGAACGTACATTCATACGTACGTACGTAGATTTGTAAGTATTGTATATTTTTGTTTTGTGTTTTTTTTTTTTGCACACATTTCATATTTCACCGCGCGCTCTTGTTCGTAGGTTCATATCTAAGTTTCGGTTCAGACATAACTAACGTTTATTTACGCTCGAACACTGCAAGTGCTAGCAACAACTTGGCTAAATCGTCGCGAAATCAAACAACCAACTCGTGTCTAAGAAGTGTCTGTGTTTTCTCTAATTTTCGGTGAAAATTTGAATTTCTTCGAAACAAATCGAAAATAAAAATAATATAAGCAACAGAAATTCTTAGAGAAGCAGTTTTAAGTGAAGTTTTATTTGTTAAATTCCTGTGAATAAAACAAATTCAAATTACAGGTGTGTGTTGATTTTTATGTAAAAAAAACATGAAAACATGTATAAATAACTGATAATGAGAAATTGACAAAAAATATTGTTTTTTTATATATAGAAATATTTCCGAAATTAAGTGTTTTTTGTCTTCTTATTTCAATTTATTTAAGCCAGCTAAGAAAAGAGTATTAAACAAAATAAAAATGGTGGAAAAACTCGGTGAGTTTCGAAAATAATTCGATACCAGCACTAACACCAATCCTTATTTTTCCACGCCAAACTAATTGCATGCAAACGCTAAATTCTATGCTTTAAAAATCTTTTTTTCAATTTCTATAAAACTTTCATTTTATGTGTTCCCAAAAATTAAATCGAATCCCTATAATGACAATTGCATGATTAAAAAGTCTTAGCTAAAAGTTTTTCTCAGGAAATAAAATTAAAAATGTGTGTAAATGTGATAATCTTTAATTTTTTTAAGTTTAAAATTAATCTCCTATTGTTGTGTTTTAAGTTCCAAATAAAAAAATACCATAGAAAGGATTTGATGTTTGAAAAAAAAAAGATAATTTTATCAAATATGTAAGATTACTTTTAATGGAATTAAACAAAAGCTTAATTTGAATCATTTTTAAGCAAATAATGAGTGATAAAGGAACATTTATGATTTTAATATTAAAAAGGCTATTGTTTGGCTATTCTTGTTTTGCAAATATTCAACAAATTTTTTATACATTATTTACAATTTAAATTCAAAAATTAAAAACAACAATTTTCTAAAGTTTTATCACACCCTTCATCATAAGATGATCAATGTTGTAATTCCATCTCTCTTACAAGGTATGAATATTACCTACAAGAAATTGCTTATTACAGGGTGAGATAAAAAAATTACAATAAAGTCAAACGCCATAATTTTTACATTTTTTATTTATTTATTTTTTTTATTGAATGAAAACAAAATATGTCGAAAATAACATCAACTTTAAGAATAAGTTTAGATTTGTTCGAATTGGTCACCTTTGGCATGAATTATGGCCTACAAACGCCTAATGAAACCGTCACACGCTGCCCGAATGTTGCTCTGCGGTATTTTGGCCCATTCCCGGCAAAGCGCTTGCTTGATGTGATCGACATTTGGTATTTTTTAGTGCCAACCTTGCTTTCCAAAATACTCCAGACACAATAGTCCACCGGATTGGTATCCGGAGATTTTGGTGGCCATTGTGCTCTGGAAATGTAACGAGGAACCTCATTTTGTAACCATTCTTGGGTGGCGCGTGCTGAGTCCTGTTGGAATGTCCAAGGTCTGCGGCCAAAATGTTTGCGTGTCCAAGGTTTTAATACACCCTCCAGAATATTTTCGCGATAATATTCGGCGTTTATTAATTTGCCACGGTCGATTAATACAAGCGGCTGTTATGGCGGCCCACACATCACCATGAGTTCTGGTGGCCAACCGAAGGTGGACATTTTCAGCTGACCTCTTTGGCAAGTAAACACGATCATTTTGTTTGTTTACAAACTGCTGGACAACGAATGTTTTCTCATCGGAAAAAACCAAATTCAGCAATTCACCACTTACGGCCAAGGGACTCTTTAGCTCTTTTAAATATATTTTCTTTCTGATGCGGTATAAGTTTTTGCACTTTTTAGAATTTCAATGGCTTTACCTCATTTTAGCTCATTTTTCCATATTTGCCGAACGGAATATTGCGATATGTTGAGCTCACAAGCCATTTTTCGGCCACTGCGACGCGGGTTTCCGTCCTTCTATGGAAATCGCTCTAGCATGCGAACGAAATGAAGTAGGTTGATTAAATTTTACTCAGGTTGATAAAATATTATGTCTACAAGACTTTTGGTATTGAAAATCGGCCATGTAGGTTCACTTTTTGGTATAGCCCCTCATATAATGGTACCTCCCTATTTTCGGTATTTTGGTGATTTAAGCGACATTATTCACCAGAAATCTTTCAAATTTGGTATTTGAAGTTCGTAATGCATACTACAGCCTAAGACAGAAAATTGTATGTGCAGATCCACGCCTCCGTATAGGAAACGGAACATCCCGATATTCAGTATTTTGATGATTTTAGCGACATTATTCACCGGAATTGTTTCAAAATTGGTATTTGAAGTTCGTATAGGATATTACAGCCAAAGATAGAAAATTATCTATTCAGGTCCACGTCTTCGTATAGCCCCCATACAACGGTACCTCCTGATATTAATGATTTTAGCTACATAATTCACCGATTTTTTTCAAGTTTCGCATTTGGTTATTGTAATGGCTTATGACAAAAGTTGTCTATGCAGGTCCACGTCATCGTTTAGACCCTAATACATTTGGTAGTTTTAAGATTTTAACAGAATTTTAAACGGATTTTATTTTTTTTAAATTCCCAAATTCGTTCCAAATGGTGGAGGGTATTCAAAGTTCGGCCCGGCCGAACTTACAGCCTTTTTATTTGTTTTTTTTTTTTTTTTTTTCTTTTCAATATAACCCTTTTCAAAGTGATATCATGCATTCTTTAGCAATTTTATTTGGTATAAAATATAAAAATATCTTCGTCGAATTTAGTGATAATCTATTCAGAATTGGATATACCCATATATTAGTTTCCTTGAAACCAAATTACAACTGCTCTAAAGCCAAATGTTCATAGGTGGTATGGCCTACTTCAAATAAATTCTTTTGTTACTGGAGATCTACTAAATATGCATATTGGTGTTGGGTACATATAGTCGGCACCGCCCAACTTTTGACTTTTCCTGACTGGTTTTAATATTGCCCTGTCTCTGTAGATTATTTGTTTAAACTAAAGACGTTTAGAGACAAAACAAAATCACTTATTTTTCTTATACGTTATCGGTACGTAATTTAAATTGAATCAAACGAAACAAACAATCCAATCCATTTGATGATAAGAATAAAACCAAAATATCAATTTTAAATGTAACAAAACCAAAAAAAAAGACTGCCCAAAACTCTTGTACTTGTCTTGTAAAGTGCCAAAAATTATGATATATTTATTCATTTACATTGCAGATTTAAGACGACCTTGACCTATTTCAATTTTCATACAATTTTTTTGTAACATTTTTACTGCAGGCATATATTTTTCAATTTTATGTTAAATCAAAGATTGTTTAATTATTTGAAGATTTAAATGAACTTAAAAATATCCTCCTCAAAATCATCGGTTTACTTTTACTTATAGCCCCCATATACTGATATACGCCGTTCAAAAAATTATAAGTATAAAGGTATCCTTGATTTCACCCCTTGAATGCCTGTCTTGGCCACATTTTTCAATTGGTTTTGCACTTATTTGGCACTTTGGCTTCTAGAAAACCTCTTCGCAGAAAATGTTCAATGTAGCTCATTTTTTCGGAGTAGCTCCCATATAAATTTACCTATTTCGACATTTTTCAATCGATTTGGCTAAAAAATGTATATTTAGTCTACTTTGGGGTAGAAAATCATTTTTATAGAAAAATTTCAACATAGGTACATATTTTAATGTTGTCCCTTTATAACAGCACTTCGCAATACCACATTGACATTTGATAATGATTTTGAAAAGTTTTTCTTAAAAAAAATAAAATTTGATTTAAAAAACAAGTAAGCAAAGGCTATGGTCGTGCGGGGCAAGTGATATTCTTAAATACTACAATGTGTTAGAAGACCCCTTATGTCCAAATCCGCTTTTGAAATTATTTCATAGAGCATTGCCCAAATATTACCCTCTTCCTTTTGACCAGGGTCATTTTTCCAATATTTACGCATTCCGTTGCCTTGGTCCATTTTACAGCTAAGTATAATTCAATGATCATTCAAAATGGTAGACTGCTATCCTTAACTCCCTTCTCAGGCAAAATTATGTGTCGATTAGTTTTAATTGTGTGATCAGGAAATATTTTCTGTTTTTGGTTCGTTTAAATCCTAAATATTTTGCGATCATCTCCAAATGCAAGATGCCTCGCTGTATCTCCAAATTTAGACTCATCTATATGATTTGCTTGTCTACAATATTTGGCTATATTTGTCGACGAAATCAGCATAAAAAATCCAGAAGTTGGCCTTTTGTATATTTTGGATTTCGCCTGTAAGTTATTTTAAGCGTTTCGGTATAATGGACATGTTGGTATTGTTCACACAAAAGTAGTGGTCAATTCTACCCGTTGTCCTAAACTCGTACTTCTATTTGTGACCTTTATAACGGCGACAAATCAGGAATATTTTAGTTGTTGGTCCATTTTAACCCCTAATTATATTGCGCACATCTTAAAACAATAGACCTAGCCCTTCTGAGCCTGACCCTACCCTTATGAACATTTTCGTGAGGATCGGACGATACTTGCAATCTGCATATAATAACCCCAACCTGTGTTGTAAGGTGAAAAAATATTACAAAATGTACACTTCAAATTTAACATCATTATTGGCATCTTTTAATGCGATTTTTATACCCTCCATCAAAAAAGGTATGGAGGGTATATTAAGTTCGTCATTCCGTTTGTAACTCATCGAAATAATCATTTTAGACCCAACAAAGTACATATATTCTTGATCAGCGTAAAATTCTAAGACGATTTAGCCCTGTCCATCCGTCTGTCCGTCTGTTGTAATCACGCTACAGTCTAAACGAATTAAGATAGGAAGCTAAAAATTGCACAGATCTCTCTTTTGTCTGCAGGCAGGACAAGTTCGAAGATGGGGTATATCGGTCCACGATATCGTATAGCCCCCATATAACGGTACCCCTGATATTTGGTATTTTGATTATTTTTTCCACATTTTTCAATGAAATTGTCTGAAATTCCACAAAAGGAGTCCCTCGTGGGCATTTTACCCCCTCAAAAAGAATTGTCTATATAGGTCCACGATATCGTATATCCCCATATAACTGTACCCCCGGATATTCGGTATTTTGATGATGTTTGCCACATTTTTCAATGGAATTGTCTTAAAATCCACACAAGTAGTTCCTTGTGAGTACTTTATCCCCTGAGAGAGAATTGTCTATACAGGTCCACGATATCGTATATCCCTCATATAACGGTACCCCCCGATATTCGGTATTTTGATGATTTTACCCACATTTCCCAATGGAATTATCTGAAAACCCACGCAAGGAGTTCCTTGTGAGTACTTTACCCCCAGACATAGATTTGTCTATATAGGTCCACAATAGCGTGTATCCCCCCATATA